GCAGCAGCAGCAGTAGCAGCAGCGGGAACAGGAGCATTGGCAGTGGCAGTGGCAGTAGTGGTGGTGGTATGTAATCGTAGTAGGTGATCGCAGACCACATGAAGGCCATCCCGCAGGTTTCAGCTCTACGAACTCGCCGGCCACTGAATCGAACTCTTGAAACTACTCTTCTTGGCACTGATAGTCTTAAGCTTTCTTTGTTTGTCATATTCTGTACCGAGCTGCTTTGTCATTGTTGGCTTTTCAACATGTTTGCTTGTATACTTGAGCTTTTGCTGTCTTCATCTGCTCGTACTCGTCTTTATGCTTGTTCGCTTGAGATATTTCAGGATTGCTGCCTAATTCTGTTTGGCTTCGTGCCCAAAACCCTCCGAAGCCTTTGCAAGATGCCCCGAATCGCTTGGCACTATCCTTTTATCGAGACTTTGGTGAGCCTCCCCCCTTCCGGTGTTCTCGGCGGCCAGAAAAGCCACATAATGCAGGGGTCCGCTGAAAACAACAAAAGGAGCGGTTGTTTTCTCGCCCTTTGAGACCCACGCCTGGCTGCCCAGCAGCCAGAAAAGGATGCTTGGCGTTCAGGTGATGTGCCGTAGTCGCAGTGCAGTAGCAGTAGCAGTGCAAGTCAAAATTGAAGTAGTAGTGGCATGTAATCGTAGTAGGTGTTCGCAGACCACATGAAGGCCATCGCGTCCCAGGTTTCAGCTCTACGAACTCACCAGCCACTGAATCGAACTCTTGATAACGAACGGAAGGCCCATCGACTTTGGCATCTGGCATCTAGTGGCCTGAAAGTGGTCGGTGGTCTGAAACGAATCGATGTACCTCCAGGCGGGGTTCCCAACTGGCAATCCGGAGATGGCACTCCGTGAAGCTCGTCCCACAAACCCTGCGACCAGACCGAAGAGGTGATTCCGCTTCGTGGCTGTCATGTAAGGATCCTTGCAACAAGCCAATTTTCAAACAACCGAGAGGATCTCCCAGGAGAGTTTCCATAATTCCAGAGAAATGTCTCAGCATTAGGGATCAAGGCTGCCTAGCTCACATTTGGGAGGACAAGGCTTTGGCATGCTTTAGCTTCTGGGATGTTTTCGCAGGCTGATCACGAAACTTCCTTCCGCTGATTCACTGTAGACAACGTAAGGCGTAAGCCTGGAGAAAGGGAATGCAACTCTGTGCTGCGCTCTTATGGCTAAATCCTCCTTGAATCAAAGCCAAGCTCGCAACTCCCCATGCTCCAGCAAGCTAGAAGCTAACACACATTCGAGATCTGTCGAGGGCACTTTGATCTCTCTGTCATCAGGGTGCTGCCGTCGATGCGGAAGTACCTAGTCACTGCCGGGTGCAAGAGCATTGGGCTCGTGAGTGCAAGTCTTGGGTCAAAGGTGAGGGGTCCGTCCCTTTTACGAGTAGCCCGAAATGCGACACTGGGGATTCTGAGCTTCAAACCTAAGCGGGTTCTCCCGGCTGTTTGTTATCGGATTGAGGGTCTGCAGGACATGGAGTGTAAGCTGGGCCTCCGGGTTTCTCCGTTCAAAACTTTGGCTTTTGACGGACGGCTTCCTTGCTTGAGCAGTGTGTCTGCAGAGTTTCCACGGGCACTTAAGCACAGTTTCTTGTTGCACAGCTGTAGTTTAAATTCACAACAACTGTCACGCATTTAGCATACTACCACAATTGGTGCGGCATCCAGTCTTGATGCCGATGGGAAAGATATCTGCACCACTGCAAACCCTATCAGCCCTGAATTGAAAAACTAAATCTGAAGCACCTAGACACCCGGAAACTGCAAACGCCGACTTTATCTATGCATACTCGCCTCAACTTACAACCCCACTGGAAATGAAGTCAATCAGCTCAAGTTCGTGGGAGTGCCCGCCTTCTCTCTGCTGTTTGTGCTCCCCAGTACTTGCAGCCGTTGTATTGATGAAGACGACTATTACTATGCACAGGCACCGGATGGACTGCTCCTGCAACGACTTCTCCAGGGCATCGAGCATGGCCAAGTGATGGGCGAAGACGAGGAACCGGACCTGGGCTTCAAGAATCGAAAATGCAAGGATGAGGTGTCTGCAAGACATCTAAGACTTTACGGACTCAAGCTTTTGGCCTTTGCGGAAATGTGCTTGGTGGCTGAAACTTTTGGCATAGGGTTCGGACTGTGCCTAGTTTGAGCCGCACCGAAACTAGCGTATCCTTCGACGCAGCACCCCCTGCTGGGATTGCGCGTCTCCATGAACATCGGATACATCGGATGACAACGCGGAGCTGGTTTCTGTTAGCGGAATGTTCGTTTTTGCAAACGTAAGCCCATGAAACGGAGGTATGGCACCGCTCGCATAGGCCCTGTCATAGGGTCGACCAAATGTAGCTGCGTAGCTGTTGCAGTCAGTCCGCTGAGATTCTAGCGGCTCGACCTTCATGATCGTTTTTGGAAGACTGTCTTTGCAATGCTCCCATGAAAGTCGAGCTTTTGGGGGCACAGAGGACTGGACGGGCAAAACAACATCAGCAACTCAGCGTCTAGGTGGATGCAGTCAACTTCGATCGCGACGGTGTAAATGACGAGGCAGTAAAGGCACTAAGCCCTGCACCTGAACATTAAGCGGCCCAAAGCACACATCAGCCGTTAGCCGACCATCCTCCAGCCTCTGGGTATTGCCTCACCAACCCGTGTTGAACTTGGTGCCATCGAAGGGTCATGCAGTTGACATCTTTGGGGGACTTGGCTTGCCTCTCAAGTCCCTTGAAACACCAGCACGGGCTGAAGGAGGGATATGCCGGGCATCGCACGTTAGCAGCCAGCAAGCAGGACAGATATTCTGCCACCGCAGCTTTCTTCGCTTTCGCCAATCTGCAGGCGAGGTGTTGTCAGGGAAAGGTGTGGGACATAAGCGCCAGATCTTTAGGTTCAAGAGAAGTATGCTATGCCGTGAATCCAGCTAGTCATGCTGAGGCTTTGAGGACTAGCAGGTTCCATAGCTCACGGTTCGATGGTCACGCATGCAACGTCAGCAGCTCTTGGACGAAACTGTGCTTGCAACTCGAATGCATCCCGAAAGCAAACACATCCCGACACCCAACACCCAACCCCAATTTCACACGGATCAACTTCTGACAACATCCTGTGCCCAGATCGGCGGTCGGTGAACCCAGCACCCTTGACACAATCACCGGCGAAGCCGCTCACTGCTATGCCTCGAAGCCTTCAACGTGGCCCCACGCACGGGGTTGTCCCACAAATTAAACCAGTAGTAAAGAAAAACCAGCCCCAGAAACCCACAAAAGATAGTTTAAAATCTTGGAACAACTTAGGTAACTTAAGTATGGAGGATTTACAAGCTGCAGCAAGGCCTCTCGCAAGCCTCTTCCACAGGCTCCTGCACGAAACCAAAGGCAAAGGTCTATTGAACCGTTTAGCATCACCTTACGTGATTTGAAAACATGCGTGAGCAGCTGACCAAATCCTTCGCAAAAAACGAGACCCTCCGCAACTCCTGTTACCAAACTAAACGGCTTGGCAAGTTAGGCTCCTTAATCAATCTTTGCAAAGGTCGCGAACCCCAAAGGCGTACTGGTGTACTCGCGGCGGCATCAGATCTACATAGAAACAAACAGCGAAAGTCATGAAAGGTCGAGTCTGACTCGACTTAGTCCAAATCATGTTGGTAGGTTTTAGGCCTGCCAGCGTAGTGTTGTCCAGACTAAGAGCGAAAACAATTACAACTGTTGGACTTTGAGCGGGGAGCGTTCATTCGGAAGTGCTTTCAACCCCATCTCCCATTGGGCTCCCATCTCGACCAGTCTCAGCAGCTCCTTTGTCTTCCTGCTTGGTTATGGCATTCCTACTTTGCGGCTGCGTGCTCCTCGCGAGCAGCTGGACTTGCAGACGGAGCAGAAGGCCCCAGGTCCTGCCGAGCGTGAGAGATTTCAGCAGAAGCAATCAGTCTCCGACGAAGTCCTGCGAAGCCCGAAAGCCGCAAATCACGGTGTCTTGCCAGCATTTGCTCTTCACAGTTGAAATGAAGCGACGGTCATTATCACCACTATAGTGATGGTTGTTGGGTACTTGAGTTACTGGAGTCCTGCGGCGCCACAACCTCCCAGCCTCAAGCTCCAAGCCCTCAGGTCACTACAATGAAATGTCCAAAGCCCATTTTGAAACAACCACAAAACACCCAGTTTTCTACCGCTGAAGCCAATGGCACAAAAAGGCACACAACGCCTGTTCTGGCGAGCTTGAATTGCAGAAAGACCTTCTGTGCGTGACTGTGATCACCCGAAGGTCCAAAAGCACTCTCCGCCGACGTTTCTTCGGCAGCTGAGGGAGCATCTCCACCTTTGTGATGCACAGATTCGAACAACCACTGCAAGAACCTGTTCTCGCTCCTTGCACATTTTTGACATTGCAAATGATGTTGAGCGTAAACCGGGGCGAGATCTTCGTGTCCGTAATCTAATTAGGATGGTTCTAGAACAGGTAAAGCCGGGCTGCATGATCACATTCATTGCTTTCTGTTTCGCAGGCTACGTGGTTGCTGAAAGGTACATCCGGACCCAAACAAATACGCAGCATTGACGCTGGCATAGAGGTTCCAGCTGACTGACTGACTGTCTGCTGCTAGCTCCGAGCCATCAAGCTGCGGTCATATCAGTGGAGAAGATTAATGCCCCCGCTATCTCGCAGCCCCACCGTTCACTCTGCAACAGAGACCTCCTTAGCACTTACACAATGGGCGATTACAAGAGTCGACACTCTCAGTGCAGGGCCTTGGTGCGACGTAGCATAACTGACCCGAGAAGGGCGTGAAGCTCCTGATATGCATAGGGTGGGAAAGAACACTCGTTGCTGGCTCCGGCAGGTCAGCAGCCCAGACGGCTACTTGACATGAGGCCCCGTGACTCGTAAGTTCGCTACTCAGATTCGTCTGATCCACTGATCGATGCTCAGTGAAGAGGATTTCTGGGAGCGCCCTACTATGCCGGATGATACTTTGACTTTGACATGAAGGCACGAAAACGTCGGATTTCCCTTAGAGGGAGAAAAGCCGTCTGGATTCTAGCCTTGTCCAACCCCAGATCCGCAGCCGTCAACATGAAGAGTCTTCGATGCATATTCGGAAACATCGAAGCGCGGTAGCATTTTGCGAAAACCTCCAAATATCTCCAAATAAAACACTTAACACACCCTGTTACACATCAAGGTTTCCCAAACACCTGCAGAAACACCATCCAAGCAGGCTCGTTTCTCACCTCACTCCCAACTACAAAGTCCTGAACTGTTAACCTCTAGTCTCGGAACTAGAACCGCTAGTTGACCTCACTTTAACCTGGAAGTACGAAGGAGAGCAACAGAAGGAGCCTGCAGGCGCTGTGCACCGCGCCGGCCATACCGGGCAGCGAAGTCGTTGACCGAGGGGAGCTCTCCCTGAGGTAGAAAGGTACTATAAAGACTTCGGACGCCGAAGGCTTCGGACTCATGACAGGCTGTGGAGGTTCAGACTCTCGGGGAAAGAGTCGATGTTCGGGGCTTTTTGGGGATTGAAACCTCTCAAGGGCCTTTCGTTGCACGTTGCGGATATGGTTGGCTTCTTGTCTTGGGTTTCGTCCAGGAGGTGCACCGGAATGACAGTAAAAACAAACTAGCTATCGAGCGGCTGAGTGGTTTTGGAACTTTTGGCTCCGAGGAATAAGCAACTCGCGCTGAAGGTAGCTGTCGTTGGGGCCAGCAGGATTAGTGACCGTGACAAGCAGCAAGCGGATTGGAGACTAGGAATTCCAAGCTTGCATTACCGTTACTGTTTCGACTTGACGTATAGGAGAATCGTGCATGTGTGTGTCCTTTCGGCAAGAACCTTGATGTTACAAACAAGACCCCTAGTTGCTCGACACACCGAGCACGCCTCGGGCAGAAGACTTTCCAGCAAAGGATACGCATCCTGTCCCAAATGCTTGGACATGGACTTCCGGGCTCAGGGGTTCAGGCCCGCAGAGACAGACTGTGGTCAAGCATCTCAGTTCAAGCACTGCTTATGCTTTGATAGTTGGGTCTTTAAGATTCTAACATGCTACCGCAAAACCTTGAAAAAGTAACTAAACCCTTGCATGACGCGGTGCATCATCTTCGACATGCTCGGGCTGCCAAATCCATACTAACCTTCTGTGCCCGATAATGAACCGTTGCAAGCCAGCCGATGAGCTCTCCTCTGCGCGTGCGACGAGCGGAGTACCTGTCCTGATAATCTAGACGAATACACGCACCCTCTCAGACTAAGACAATTGGACAATGACGTTAACCTAGCTGGAAGGAAGAAGCAAACACCCTAAATAAAGAAGCTTGACCGTCCGCATCGCCATCACCGTGATCACAACAAATGCCCACATCATGACGACCAACATAGTCAGCATCATCCCCACCCCACCAGCGCCGCTGGCAGCAGTAGCAGCTCTAGCACCACCACCAGCATCAACGTCAACAGCAGCACCATTTTCATCACAATCATGAACCTCCACCCTTGTCCTGGTCCGCTCGTCATCATCTCAGCATTATGAGTAGCTAGACACTTCGCAACTCGCAGCTCACTAACTGCCAAGCAAGAGCTGGCAAGCAAAAGCTTCGCAAGCAAAACACACCGCAGAAGTTGAAGTGAGTGCCACGGCACTCTGAGCATATTTCCAGGTGTAAGCTCCGAATCACGGTTTCCGGTCCTTTCAACGGTAAACAAACGTATTTATGTAATATCCTGTGTTGCGATTGCAGCTGCTTGGCAGAGCCCGCCTCTATCTACTACCTGAGTCCCTGATTCCGCACTTCAGAGCTCTGTGAGATACATAACGCTTCATGAACCTGATAGCAGTTTGAGCCTAGGTGCACTTGGCCTAACTTAACTCCTCTGGTAAATTGCACGTCACTGCATAAGGCCACTCCTGATGTTTGCACTATCACCAGTTGGACGACACGAAAAGAAAATGGACCCCTGTCTTCAAGTCTCTTCGCTCTCTACTTCAGGGTGACTCTTGTCATTGCAGGGATGCCACTAGGCCGTGGATGAGCCGCAAATCAGCCAAGGCACAGCAGGAGAGCATGCTTTGCTCTCCGGGCTAGAGGCACCACCGCCTCCGATGTCAACCCGATGGCTTCAAGAGTTGTCCCCGAGATCTGCCCAACAATGATCTGTGCTTTCGAAGCACTCTTTCTGCGATGCCTGTTTCCATCTTGTTCGTCTACAGAAGCCACATGTTGCTTTGAGAAAGACTCGCTACCACGCAGTCCCACATGATTGGATAAATTTTAATAAGTTACGGTCCAAATAGAACCCGGTCAGATGGGTTCGCGGCCATCATCTCACTTGGAACGACACAGGCCCCCGGCTTTTGGGGTTCTGAACTCGGAACCTACACACACCTTGGAGCGCTTCTTCGCCAGCCGAATCTGGAAGGTGCAAACACCAAGCCCAAACGGTGGTCCACAGGACGAGTCAAAACTCAACTTCAAGCCGCCCGTGCTCCTATCCCAGTCGCACCTGCCTGCGCTCGTTTGGAGCTCTGGCCCCGCAGCTGATGACACTCCTGGGCCGCCAAAAGCCAGCAAACGAACCTTCGAGTTCTGCAGGCTCAACACGGTTTCCTACATCTCCCTTTGGCTTTTCAGGGATTGTACTTCGCATTCGAAGCTTTTGCGGGATTCTCGCGTGGCGCTTTGGGTTTCTTGCTAGCACTGGAACTGCGCAGGTGCTTGCTGCGAGGAGCCCTTGCCACATGCCTCGAAGTGTAGTGTAGCAGTACTGAGGTTGTCTTTGTTCCTCGTTCCCGTGGTCATGGTTGTGGTCTTAGCAGCGGTCATAAAAAGTACTCGTAATTGACATGACATTCTGTTGAAGAGTTTGCAGTTGGACAAGCTTCGAAGACTGGGACTATAACGCAATGGGCTGAATGAAGGCTGCCGCGTATCAGAACCGATCATGCTAGGAACAGTTCCTTTGAGTAAAGGCGATGACTCCTGCAGACCCTATGCTGTTGACCTACGGCGGTGGACTGCAGGCATGAAGTCATGTCAGAATTGTTTGAGTGTTGGGGTTCAATTTTGCGGTCATGGCGGTCATATCCACCCGGTCTTGTACGAGCAGCCTATTGAAGTCAGCATCATCTTTGCGCAAGGATTCGTAGTGAAAAAAGAGCCCTCCTTGATGCGAGCCCTTGCTCCCTCGGTCAGGTTGCATCGACGATGACTATCTGGAACTCGCCGAAGCTGCCGGGCTTGCTTGAATCCTCTGCTTGTTCGGGGCTCGAGATAGAGGTTGGGATGTGACAGTCTTGCACACACGACGCTTTTATCCATCCAGGGAATCGGTGTAGCCAAGGAAATGTCAAGGTTTGGACAGCTCACGCATCTAGCTGCTTTCGTAGCAAGTTTCGGTTTTGCTCCTTGCTACGGCCGTGAAGGTCATGTCATGGCTTCGAGCTAAAGCAACATCGGACGGACCTGTTTTTACAACACTGCTGCCGAAACAAGCGCGATCGGCTCATCCGACATACTCCTATTCCCGAAAAGAGATCCAGCCACGAGCCCGAAACCCGCAAAGTGTGCTCCAATCCCGAACAGCCCTGCATGTCCTGCCGCGCAGGTAGAAGGTTGTATGAGACCACTACCATCCTCAGACAGCTTCAGGGGTTTCAATTGCTGTAAGGAATTTGGTGTGAGGTTGCCTCGAATGCTGGAGAAGGTTCTGGCAAGTGGCTATAGCGGTTAGAGGAAGGGATCGGATTTCGAGGCACGGGGTCAGCGCTCGAAAATGCATGATCAATGCTGTCCATGCAACCTCCAAGCTACAATTCATTTCTGGGGTTTGCGTATAGCGCTTTTCCTCGGTCAGCATATTGCAAGTACATCTTCGCTGACCCAGCACTAGGCAGGTTCCCCAGGAGCAAAGGATGGATTTAGGCAGGAGGTGCTCCCTCGACAGTCGAGCAGCTTAGCAACAGTCGGAACCACTTCCTGCAAGAAGCTGCAGCCACCACTCGAAGATGCTTGTTCTCGGGTGTAGGCCCAGGTTCACAGATTTCGATGCACAGTCCACGAATGAAGACGGGCTTCAGGTCAGGTCTTCCAAGGCTGAAAGCCGCTTGCGTACGTGCTGAGGGCTGATGAGTGCGACGCAGCATGATGGTAATGGACAGTCTGGTGTCGCCGGCTCTGCGGACACTCGCATGTTGGCTTCGAGAGATGTGAGATCTCTCACGGGCGTGTAATTGCGGCTTGCATGCCAGAAATGTACAGTTCGAAGCCTTCCAGGTTCTAAGGTGCAAAACATGGAGAAGTTGCCACAGGTCACAACACACCCCACAACTTGGTACGCAAACACCCGAAAACAAATCCCATCAGCAAACACACAAACAACCCGACAACTTCTGCACCATGTGCTGCCGAAGCCAAACGGCTACAAGTATCTGCCCATGAATCTGACCATGGGCTAAATCGGCAAAGGCACGACTCTGAACCCCAAGCAGATTGCTATACGATGCGCCCCAAGCAGATTGCTATACGATGAGCAAGAACACGCGAGACACCGAGTAAAGTGCCAGCGCCCCAAATCTGAGATACAACTTAAAACTCAAAACCCCTCAATGTCTCTCAATCCCGAAATCAAAAGTCTCTTGTGGCCGTGAGGACTGACTAAGTCCTGTCCCGAGCGGACGACCACCACGTCTTTGGGTGCCAGGAGCGTCGGCAGCCAACGTAAGGCTTGGTCCTGTTGCGGGTTTTCGGCCAAGCAGAGGATTTTTGGGCTACGCCTAGTAGATGCTGGGGGCTTAAGATCTGGGAGTTCGTGGTGCGCGGCTTTAACTGGTTTCGGATTTGTCGCGCATATCATCCGGCTTGATGTGCGGTCCACGATCAAGCAGAGGATGCATGTTTATCAGTATGCTACATCAAGGAAGCAAGTACGGACCCAAAATCGCCAGATCCTTTCTACAACAGATCTTCACTGGCACGACAGAAGCCCGCCCACGCGGAAGGCCTGCCACACCCGGCAGAGGGGCGCAGGTGCGATAACCAGGACTGGCCATTCCTTGTAAGTATCGGGCAGATTGGCTAGGGGCTCAAGGGTATTCGCACAAGCTGTGCTGATTGCACGCTGGTTTCCACACAGACCGGCAGCAATGACGAGAATCATGAGACCAGGAGTACGAGCAAGCGTCGCGGCATTTCGCAGATAGTATCACATACTGGAGGTACATCGATAGAAGCTTTGTGAGAGGGGAGTCCAGAAACATAGTCGATTTCCACCTACACCTAAAACACATGTTGATCAACGTCCCGTCCTCCACGAAGTGCTTGGCTAATGCCAGGGCTGTGATTGTCTTGCCCAGGCCTGGGTCTGAGTTTGGAGGGGAGAAGGTATAATACAGTCAGAAGGTGCTTCTCATTTTCTCATGCCGGGCCTTCCTGTAGGGATCAGTCAGTGGCTCTTCAAACCGCTTGATGACATAAGCTGATTCCTGAACGGCAGTCCAGCAGCCCATCTCGTCCCCCAGCAGGAACCTGCCACACCGGAGCTTGGCTTTCGATTTCGCATTCGGGACTAAAGCACCAACGCAGCTTGCAAGGCTTCGGTTAGCAAGATTCGCTTGGGGCTGCAGCTGCGTTTGCCGTGCGCGAAGTGCAATGCATGCGGTCAGGGAGCCGTGTCTGTGCTTTGCTGCTGTCTCTGTTGCTAGCTTGAGCTGCGAGCTCTGAAACAAACCTACGTGATTGCAAGCTTGCTGAACGAGCCGCACGGAGCCTTGCATGATGCCGGAGGCCAAACTCAACCGCGTCTACCTGGCTGGGCGAACAGACTACTGCGCAGGCCCAGCTGGACAGGTCAGAATGTGTGCGAGAGCGTCTGAGTGAGTCAAACATGGTTGGATCTCGTGTGGGGTCTGAGGCCAAACGTTTGTGGGCACCCCAAGCCGACAACAAATTGCAGTTTCATTGGCCAAGTACTGCAAGTGCCATCCAAAGGCGCAATGACTTCGCAGGAGACACGGTGCAGCGAGCGGTTCTGGAAAAATACTTTGATTCAGATCCAACGGTCTAAAAATCGATGCCGCAAGCGGGTATCTGAAGGGACCAAGGCCGCTGAGGAATCTTCGAATTTGTTCCATGCAAGTACTGACATTCTCAAGACTCAAGCGAGCCACGGAGCCTGGCCTGGAAGGGAAGCAATTGGCCCCCCAAGCCATCGAGGTCCAAGGCCTTCAGCTGGCGTTTTGGAACTTGGGCTCATGGTTTGGGGTCCTGGGGTTTCTGGCTCCATGGACTTGAAAGAACCAGCGAGCTGAATGGTGTGCAAAAGCTCCTCGAAACACGCTGTACTATGTCATAACAAAGTTGACACGGGGCTAAACGCCCAACGCATCCCAACGCCCTGCGCCCGAAGCCCAATCCCGACAGCACAGTGGGCCGTTTTGAGGTGCTGCAAACTCTGCACCGCAGACAACTAACTGTCCCAAACACCAAACTCCTACTTATATCTGCTACACCCAAACTCCTCAGCACACAGGCCGAAACCTCGGAGCTCAAATCCAACGGCCTGAACCCCACGCCCTCAACCCCACAGCTGCCTAGCCGCCTTGACCGGTTTGTGATCCTCCTCCGTCTGCGTTGGTTGCGTTTTCGGCGCTGGCTTGGGAAGCTCTGCCAGCAACCTGAAGACTTTAGGGTTGAGGTACATGCCACTGGATGGGCAGCATTTTGGATTATGCCTGCAAGCTGGTGCGAGCTTTGCAGGCACTTCGAGAACAAGATGCTAAGAACAAGAAATCCTGCAAGGTCTGGTAGATTTGGGTGAAACCGTTTGACCCGACCAAGAACCGACCTGCCCACCAAAGCTTTTGGCCCCATGCCTCTAAGAATGAATCCTCAAGTCTGGACGGAGGCCGCCAGGAACGGACCAAAGGCATTTGGCGGCCTCTTGGTTGCCAAAGACAGGCGGAGCGCTGCCACTGCTTGCACCTTCGGTCGTTCCTCTAGAGTCTATTGCAAGAACAAGGAGCCCCTGAGATACGACTTCCGCAAGGACGGGGCAGTATGTTAGAGATTGAGCCCAAGTCACCTGCCAGGTCGAACACACTCCGCGCCGACACACAAAAGCTGAAATTCCATGCTTTACACCAGACGTGTAAATACGCTCCAGTCGTGACAACCACTAACTCAAGTGAGTTTCACACCCGTCTTGTCTACGAGGAGAAGAGCGGGACGAAACTGCCTGCAACAAGGTGCAGCTCTAACTACCCGGAACGCGTGGGACTCAGGTCACTACAGCAAGCTGCACCAACGCAGCGTGGGCATGTCAGGTTAGGTTGGGTGGCTGTGTTTTCATAAGCCTATCAGAGGTCCTTACAGAGTGTTATAGCAAAAACCCAATGTGTTTCCTTGGACAACGCCTTCGGACTCGGGGTGAGGTTTCGGGGGCTTGGGGCGGCCTCGGGACAGGCTTCGCGGTAGGCTCCGCAGCTCCGTTGAATGGTGAGCAGTGGGCGTTGGGCTTGTGCTTCTGACCCATGGCTGCAACAACGCAGGAACTCTCTTGTTTCCCAGGAGACAGGGCCAGTGTTCCTGTCTATCCCAACCAACCGCGAACACAAGCACCGTGAGAAGAAGAATTGGTGTCAACCGAGCTTTTGTCGGTGTGACTACATCAAGGGCACTTAACATGATTAATATTGTATGCCTATACGAAGATGAACCCCGGTAACCCCCGGCGCAGGCAGACAAAAAGAAGAATAAATCCCTGCACCGCAGGTGATGCCGCCCCCCGCCTCTTTCTGACGAAAAGATGGTCAAATGCAAAAGTGCATTCACTGATTTTCGACCTCATGCACTGTGGCAGATCGAACGAATCGTTTAGAAGGTTGCTTTCATTGACGATGGCCGAACAGCCCTGTGTGGAGCTAACACTGGGAATGAGGGAACATTGTATCGCCAAAGCGAGTGGCGTAACTCGACAATTTCATTGGCCGGGCATGTGTTCTCCACCTGATTCGGGACGCATGACACAAGGTGATCCGCGAGGGAACGGCGATCAATACCGTTCGTGGATCATGCTGTGCGGCACGATCTTCTCCATTCCCTCAAGTCCAGGGAATTTCATGTCGCCGTCTACCAAATGCCGCCTCCACGGGCTGGTAATCTTAGCGCATCCTTTCGATGGTCGATTTTGTGACTTGCTGCCACTGAGACCCACATGCACAGGAGCTTATCACCGATGGAAGGGCCGTTCGCCGTCCAAGCTTCGCGGGTGCATTGGGTTTGCCCAACGGCCGTATAGCGAGCATAATGGGTTGGGCGGATTTCTTCTCCGTGCCACCCTTTTTGTGCTTAAGTGCTTCATTAGCAGTGCTTCAACGGCTTCTTCCTGGACCCCATGACAACCCTCATGTGTCGAAATCTACCTTGCGCTCCAGGAAGCGCGACACATGCGAAAGTTTGCAAACACTCGCGCTCTGTCTGTCTGTCTGTCTGTCT